AGACTACCCACTTCTATACTCAGTTCAGGAGCAAATCTTACAATACAAATGAAACCTTGTTTCAGTGATTTGCTTCACCACAAAGATGATCAGTCAACTTCTCTCCAGCACGTGTGTGAGCTCGAGGAGCATGGAGCTTGTCTGGGTGGCGGGTGTGGTTCGGTGAAGGAGGAGCACGTTTTGTCAACGTGATGACGTTCCAAACAGAAACAACCCAGGTGCTGGGTAAACCGATGCATGTTGGGTTGATGAATTTTGACTAAGAGTTTGACCCAGCGCATGAGTTGCACAAAAACAACCCAGTTCCCATAAAAATAACCCAATTCCCATAAAACAATTCATATTGGGTTAACAATTTCATAACCCAGCAGTTGGTTAGTTGAAATAACCCAGCCTTTTTTAGTGTGAGGGTGCCATTAAACACTTGAGTACTCTATTCACTCGGGGTTTTTTGTTTGTTTGTTTGTTTTTTTGTGTCATGATTTTCAGTTCACAACTCCTCACACAGCAGTAGAAAAACCCATAAACCAAAAAGGTGTGTCTTGGTCTCTAATAGCAGTGGTAGCAGTACAATAGCATTTTTGGAATCTGCCATAGGCACTATACTGTATTCCAAATTTAGTATAAATACTGTTTATGCTGGCCACCATAGCTAATTCTTAAAATGGCTATGACTCAGATATTTAAGACATACTGGGCTAACGTTTTCTATGGTGGTGGCCAACAGCAATCTCCAACATATGCTGTACACTAAACTAAAATTCAAATTGGCCACCAAAGCTACTTTCAAAAGTTGATATAACTCAACCATGTTTAGACATAATGAAGATAAAATAAAAAATAAAAGGTTTGGTATGATGATCAAAAATTAAACATAACCATCACAGTTATTACCAGTGTTGTATAAAGTACCTCAAAGTGATACTTGAGTAAAAGTACAAGTATCTTATCATAAAAATACTTTGGTAAAAGTTAGTCTTCTTTAAAAATATTACTTGAGTAAAAGTCTAAAGTATCTGATATTTTTTGTACTTAAGTATCAAAAGTAAATTTCTGACACAAAATCTACTTACGTATTAAAAGTAAAAGTACTGAATAAAAGTGAGCAGTTACATTTTCCAAAATGACATTTATTGGGAGGTGACTTCTCAAAAAATATTTTTTCTAACAGCAGGCAGCTGTGATCAATTGTGTACAAGCTAATAGTGTGTCAGAATGTTATATATTTATACTTCTCATCCAACCACAGTTAAATTTACTCTATCCAGGAGACACAGTTTATCAGGATAGTAATTTTTTAAGTAATAACAACTTGGAATAAAATAGGAGTCATGACTTTCTACTTCTTACCTTTTTAAAAAAAGTAGTGAGTAGAAAGTACAGATAATTGTGTAAAAATGTAATGAGTAAAAGTAAAAAGTACGATGAAAAATAATTACTAAAGTACAGATAACCAAAATTTCTACTTAAGTACAGTAACAAAGTATTTGTACTTAGTTACTTTACAACTCTGGTTATTACTAAAACAAATGTATTGTAACTGTTGTCTTTAAACACAGGGAGCCTTAACTTGTTAAGGTGGTAGCTGAGAATGATCCCCAACAAATACCAAATACTACGGTAATCAAAAATTCATAATGGCTGCTAAAGCTAATACATTAATGGTCATAGTTTATTCATTTTTAAACACATTGACCTAAATTTTTGTGTGGTAGAAGCTGAAAGCAATACCCAAAAATGTCTCATGAGACAATATCATTACAGATGAGGAAAATACATTATTTAAAAAAGACATGCATCAAGTGGCATATCCCTTCAAAGTTTCTATAAAAGTTTTTTCTACTTTCCATTATGGCTGAGCCTATAGATTATCATTTCAGATTCATTATTAGACCTTTGATGTGAAGTAGAATTAGGTCATTATCATCATCATCATTTTATTTATAGCACATTTAAAAACAACAGTGCTGACCAAAGTGCTTCACAGATACAATAAAACTAATAACAAGCTGAAAACAAATAGAAAGACACAAATTACAAATACCTGAGGTAGCTCAAACTGAACTTGAGTTAAAAGCCAGTGTAAAAAAGTGAGTTTTTAAACAAGATTTTAAAGACTGAACAGACTCTGCAGTATGGATCTCAAGAGGAAAGTTGTTCCAGAGTCTGAGGAAAAGCCTGTTCCCCTCTACGCTTTAGTTTTACCTTTGGCTGCACTAAAAGCATCTGAGAGGATCTAAGTTCTCAGTGTGGGGTATAAAAGTGCAACAGGGCCAATAAATAACTGGGTGCCAGACCATTTAAAACTTTAAACGTAAGTAAAAGAATCTTAAAATCAATACGAAAGTGAACAGGCAGCCAGTGTAAGTCAGATAAAACAGGAGTGATGTGATCCTGCCTTCTAGAACCTGTTAAAAGACGTGCAGCAGCATTCTGGACTAACTGGAAATGATGGAGAAACGATTTTCCAAACCAACATACGTATAAAGAGTTGCAATAATCCAGTAGGAGTATACGTATGAGGATGAGTAGAATTCAGGCTTTTTTATATTAATCTATACTGTATCTCCATCCATTCATTCATCTGAATTTTAACCAATCGCCTCAGATACTATTCAAAATAAGAGTATGTTTTGGTTAAAGCTTAAACTGTTACAAAAGTAAGTCTTCAGAGGCTTCCAGAGAAGTGTATGAGTTTGATTATGTTTCAGGCACCCTTCAGCTTCTCAGAAATGTTTCTGTTTCGTGTTCATGCTCTGCTGTGGGGTTTTTGTTGCAGGTAAACTCCTGCAGGTGAACACCGGAGCCAAAGAGCAGCTTCTCTTCGAAGCTCCACGAGGAAAACGACAAACTATCAAAAACTCAGAGGTTGGTTTGGCAGACGGTGTGGATTAAACCAGTGCATGCTTGTTTCGTAATGTGTGATTAATTACAGATTTAAAGTTTCTAAAGGTATTTACCATTCTAGAAAGCAAGAAGTCAAGAAGCGTGCGCAGAGAGTGTCTTAAGTTTAAGTTAGCTTTGGTTCTTCACACTTTGTGTAGTTCTGTGTAATCAGGTGTTTTTGTATGTTTGTAGCTGGAACGAATGGACTGGTCCAGTTGGACCTGTGTTCTGGGCCCCACCTGTGAGGGGATCTGGCCAACTCACAGTGACATCACTGACATCAACGCTGCATCTCTCACCAGAGACAAAACGCTGCTCGCCACCGGAGACGACTTTGGCTTCCTGAAACTGTTCAGCTATCCTGTTCGAGTACGACACACAAACAGTCTGAATAAAACACAAACACATGTGTTACAGGCAAACATTGACAGGTGAAGGTTTCTGGGGTTTTTTTTTTTTTTGTTTTGTTTTGTTTTTTTACTTCTGTGAGCACTTAACTGAGGAGGCTCTACTAAAAATAAAGATATTAATAAAAGATCATGAGCTGTTTGATGCAAAATGGAGCATCATTTTGAATTGAATGTTTCAGGTAACATTCCCCACAGTGTTGGAACTGTTTGGTGTGAAAGTCAAGAAACAACTCAAAGGTCAAATGTTTTACAAATTGTAACATTTTAGACCTTAAAGGTTGGGTATTTTAGGCCTTTTAGACTTTAAAATAGCAGATTAATTCTTCAAAAATGAAATTAAAACGAAACAAAGCTACTGGATGTGTAAAAGTTACCAAACATTTTCAATGAGTTTTTTTCTGACATTAATGGTTTATTAAATGGTTGTTAAAAGCAGATATTGATTTAAAATTTTTGAAGAAAATACTTGAAAATTTTCACAAAGTTAAATTGCCGTTTTGTTTCATTATAAGAACTTTAAAAATACGAAACAGATCAATTATGAAAAGTCAACTTAGATTAAAAACTTCAACACTGAGCAAAGCTTTGTTTGAAATGATTTTTGTTGATGATCAGGCCATCAGACAGCAGTCCCCCTTGGTTGAGCACAATCTGAGTGTCCCAGACTTCTTGACCCAGCTATTCTGTGGTAAAACATCCAACGGCTGGCCTTAAAATCTCAGTGGCCCCTCTGGCCTCTTGAAGGCCTGGGGGAAGCCAGCCCAGATGAGCTACCAGAGAGGAGCATGAAGTATTGAACCCAGGCCGGTCTCCCCGATTTGCAGCGAGTCTGTGGGATGGTCTTGGACCTGGAACCAGACTCTGGCGCTCAATGAATGATGTAGATGGGAGAGCGGACCACCAGGACAGATTTGCTGCCCTCCAGGAGCCAACAGGTTGGAAATAAGACAAAAGGCCTGCTGAAACATTTGAGTGGTCAACTGAAGCTGACTCTAAAGAGAGCAAGGCCAACATCAGATGGGAAAGGGAGTTCCTAATCCCACCCATGTGGGCTCCAGAGTTGTACACCTTGCAGAGCAGGTTGTCCATAATATGACATTGTGGTCACAGACATCAAGCAATAGGTCTTGTCTGACAGGACAATAAGAGAGGCAATGCCTGATTAAACAGCCGGCATCTGCCCCAAACCAAACGTTAGGTGCCTCCTGCATGGTGGCCAGGGCCCTGCCATTCCATGTTAGATGTAAAAGTGCCTTTGTGTCCATCTAAAAGGCATGTAACTCCAGGGGCCTCGTATAAACAGTGCGTACACATAAAAAAGTTACGTGCGCCAGGTTCTACGCTCACGTTGGGATGTATCAAAACCAATGTTGCGTGAAAGTGTATGTATATATACGTACACTTTTCACCTGCCGTGAGAACGTGTGGCAGCCACACAACGTTTTTCAGTCGGCAGTTTTAACTCACAAAGTCATGAATCTGACCTGAATCCACAGAAATATGACTCTGTTGTGTTTTCTGGATGTAAGGAGCGTCTGAACACGGTGTTAGATTTTTATTTTAGTTTGAGGTTTTTATTGTTTAAACTCGAACGATCATGAAACTGAACCCCGGGACTGAAAATCATTTAACCTCAGACAAGAAAATAGATCAGCCTAAAAATGATCAAAAGAACCTCAGTCCAGTCTGTAAACTGTAAAGTTTTTATATTGTTGTCACGTAGTTGGAAACACACGCAGAGCGCAGGCCTGCGGAGCGCACACACAGCTGAGGAGAATAAAATGTGTGACTTTTCTAAGAAACGTTTTAATTCTCACTGAGAAAAAAAATTTGTCAACTCAGCAGATTAATTCAGAACAGCTCAGCTGTGATGATTCCTCAGCTCCACAAGATGCAGACAATAGATTTGTTGCTGCGTAAAGTTCTGTGTAATTTATGGATTAAAGTCAGCTGTTCTGCAGGTTGATATCCCCACAAGAAGAATTGAGGACAGTGTGTTTTTTAGTTTTTTGTTTGTTTTTTTGTATCGCACCGAAAAAATTACTATCAGGTATTTTACTGTAATGAGTCGAGCCATGCAGCTGATCTGAATGAGAAACTTCATGATTCTAAAATATAAATCACTCCGCGGCAGAAACTTGCGGCGCTGCGACTCGTTTCTTCACATCAACTATTTAATAATATTCGTCTAAGTTCTACTAAAGTCATAAGTTTCTCTGTGTTTACAGTCATTTATTAAAGATGTGTAAAGGTGGAAATGTCTCTCAGCCTCATGCGCCGCTGAAGACAGCAGCACACGCGCGTACACACCAACACACACACACCTTTGCGAGTGGCAAACACATTTTTACACGCCATTACTTAGACAATTTTCTCACTCATTCTCCATTTAATGTATGAATTTCCTGCATCTAAAAATCATTTCTGATCCCACAGAGAGGACAATCGGAGGAGAATCTCACACGCTGAACACATTTACATCTATTTTACATATTTAAATGGAGGCGTGTCAGGGGAGGCGTGTCAGGGGAGGTGTCTCACGTGCGCTCAGTTCCACGTTCATTGGGATGTATAAAGGAAAGGTGCAGGAACACACTTTTATACATCTGAATATTTTGGTGCGGCTCATTGTTCTAAATTTTTCCGTACATCAACTTTTAGTGTGAAAGCTGCGCAATCCTTTATGCATGAGGCCCCAGAACACACTCCTCCAAGGGAGGAACCACAAAAGCCATGTAAGAATTACAGCACTGAAAAAAGGCACTAGAAGCAGTGGGACAGGCCTGTGACACATTGCTTGTCCCAGCGACATGCTGTGCAGGGTCCCAGCCAGTAAGCTGCTCCAGTACAGCCAACCAGTCTAGCCTGACTGCCAGAGGCATGATGCTACAGTTAAAGGCTTTACACGCATTCGACAGTGCCTCCCTATGATGCTCCACACCAAGGCAGGAAGGACTTGAGTCATGCCCATCATTAGGCTGGAGCGGAGCCAGACAGGTCACGCAACATAAATTATAGAGCATCATACTGCTAAGACAACTGCAACCAGTCAGCAACAAAAAAAGTCATTGAAGCAGAAAACACTAATGGTGACTCATATATATACAACCCCTGTAGAGGCAACTTAAAGGACAATACAGGCAGAAAACACCACTGATGAGTAATAAGCTGTCCATCCATCCATCCGTTTTCTTCTGCTTATTCGGGATCAGGTCGCAGGGGCAGCAGCCTAAGCAGAGAGACCCAGACTTCCCTCTCTTCAGCCACTTGGGTCAGCTCCTCCGGGGGAATCCCAAGGCATTCCCAGGCCAGCTGAGAAACATAGTCCCTCCAGCGTGTCCTGGATCTGTATCCAGGATCTCGTTCTTTCGGTCACTACCCAAAGCTCATGACCATGGATGAGGGTAGGAACGTAGACCGACAGGTAAATAGAGAGCTTTGCCTTCTGACTCAGCTCTTGTTTCACCACGACAGACCAGTACAGCGCTTGCATCACTGCAGACGCAGCACCAGTCCACCTGTCGATCTCTCGCTCCATTCTTCCCTCATTTATGAACAAAACCCCAAGATAATTAAACTCCTCCACTTGAGGCAGGACCTCCTCCCCGACCTGGAGGCGGCACACTACCGGTTTCCAGCTCAAGACCATGGTCTCGGATTTGGAAGCACTGATCCTCATCCCGGCCGCTTCACACTCAGCTGTGAAACGCTCCAATGAGAGCTGGAGATCACGATCTGATGAAACCATTGGACCACATCATTCGCAAAAAATAGAGATGCGATCCTGATGTCACCAAAAAGGATTGAAGAACACCTTGGCTGCGCCTAGAAATTCTGTCCATAAAAGTTATCGGAGTAATAAGCCAAAATAAAGAAATCAAACAATGTGACAAATCAAAGCGAACAGTAAACTACTGTGGTGGAATAAGAAAACAAACTACCAGTAGCAGCTTCTAGCAACAACTGTTTTCTGGTAGAAGATAGACATAAGCTTGTTCAGTCCCTGGAGGGTGTGACTCACCCACAGCTCTAACTGTCAACAATCATGAGGCTACTGGCATCAAGCAAGTGAGAGAAAACAATGGTAAACACAGACGCTAATAGCTTAGCACAACCACACCTGCACTTGGTAAACCAAGAAGGACAAAGGGATTAAGTGCTGGGTGTCCCATGGGTCACTGGCAGGTCACAGGTGACTTTGTTGTAATTAATTCTAGACCTACACATACACAAGAATGATCATTCACCGCCTCTGGTGTTCAGTAGGGATGAAACAGAACCCACATTTTTATATGGGCCAACGTGCTTTTAAACACAACACAATAGTACAGCTCAGTCCTTCTGTTTCTTTCAATATTGATTCATTTTTTTGCATAACTTCCTTTGTTATTAGCTAAACATAAGTTTAATTTGTGGATTTCTTTTTTTAAAATTTAATATAATCATTTTTGAAACATTTTCCTTAAAGACTTTGTGAATCCAGCTGTTGTTTCTTTCCTCCCTCCAGGGTCAGTACGCCCGGTTTAAACGATACGTGGGCCATAGCGCCCAGGTGACCAACGTCAGATGGGCTCATGACGACTCCACCCTGTTGACGGTGGGTGGAGCCGACACCGCTCTGATGATCTGGGCGAGAGAGCGAGGAGGCGGGATCAATTCAGAGGGGGAGGGACCTTTGTTCCGTGACAACCGACCACCCGTTGACAGCGAAGAGTCAGACGATGACATTGAGGAGGACGGAGGTTAGTTTGAAAGAAAATGCAAACGTGAAACAACAAACAAAAAAAATTAACACCTCCATTTTTTATAACAACTTTCTTGCAAAAGAGGTTTAGCTCCTCGAGGATAAAAGCTGCCGTTGATTATTTTCTACTAACTGTGTTTGTTTAAAGGTTACGATAGTGATGTTGCCCGTGAGAAGACGGTGGACTACGTGACTAAAATGTACGCTGTGAGCGTGAGAGAGATGAGAGGAACCAAACCACACCAACAGCTGAAAGAACCGTCTGCTGAGGAGAGGTACTGATGCACAGAAACAGATCACTGAACAGTTTAAAGTTGCACCAGAGATCCTGACGTGTCTGGAATCAGCAAATCAGTAAATTCAGCTGCAGAAAAAAAATTAAAATTGCCTATTTAGATTTAAACTTTCTAAACTAGTTTGATGCCCACACGAAGAAAAAAAAACAACAGATTTAGATACAGCATTTTCTAAAAGTGGACTTCAGCAGTAGCGGCTCCTATTATTGGGGCAGATATATCAGTATGTACATGAATGTGACAATTTGTGGCACGTTTTCTGTGAAAAAGATTGACGTTACTTATTTAATCAGTTATTTGTGTACAAAGTTGTTGTTTTCTCCCTCCCTGCAGGTTATGTGTCATGAAAAACATTCAGTCTAATATTAAATCAGAGAAACACCTCCTGCACAGCCTCAAAGTATTTTTATTTTAATTGTAGGTAAAAATAGTCAGGCACACACACAGCTTTCTGGATTGTATTTCTAATTTAATTTAGAGTTATAATTCTGACTATACCCCAGATTAAGTTGGCCCTAAAATTCCTTTAAGGCCTTTTGACAGTTTTTTATCATTTGTAAGGGCATCAAGCTCTGGTAAAAATACAGGAAGTCATCTGACAACTTGGTTTTCAAAAAAAAGGCCCCAGGTAGCATCTGGAAATGTCAGAAAATGTTTAAAGGCATAAAACAAATCGTTTTTTTGCCCACCGGAGCAACAAAGACTGCTGTATAAAATACAAGGAAAACAGTGAACTATTTTAACTCCGAAGCTTTAAGTCGGCCCAAAGCTCAAACTCACAGACTGTTGATTTCAAGAACAATTCTCATTTACCTCATTTACAGGCCAGCGGTCACTCTTTCAGAGATGAGGATGTTCTCATTCTTGATAGAGAGGAACGTTGGTTTGAGAGAGGAGTAAAAGAAGCTATTTTTGTGAAGAAAGACCGTCCATCATTAAACAGAGGTGGAGGCCTCCGTTTTCAGTTGTCCCCCTCCTACAGTGCTGCTATTGCCAGTATCACTCCACCCCCTGTTAACAATAGGTGTTAATTAGGTGTCAACGATAGCCATGTGATGTGAGTATCAGTAACATGGAGGCAGGGCTTAAAAGCCTGAATTTTGCCTGAAACTCTCAGACTGAAGAAGTCTCTTGGAGGAGAGACGAAACGTTTCATTAGAGAAGAACCCGTCCAGAGGACCTATACAATTTTTTTCTTTTTGCTCCAAATATTATTTCCTTTGTTGGAAACAGGCTATGCTAAATTAATATTCCTGCCTATAATGAGCTCACGTTAGGTCTATTGTTCCTATCAATGTGCTAAAACCAGCAGAAAGTGTTTATAGGATGTGATTTCCAACACCCCAATGAGACTGTAATTGGAGGAGCTGATAGTACTGATTGTTGGTAACAAGGGGAGTATATTTTATATGACACCACTGACAAACAGGACTTTGGCCTATACCGCCCGTTAAATATAAATAAGTATAAAACAGAAGAGGAATCACTCAAATCCATTTTAAATTCTATTTAAAGCTGTCAAATTAGTTGAAAAACACGGAACAAAACATGGCAAGCTGAATAAATAAGCAATTTTTATTGTTTATTAGGAGGAACTAATGTGCTCCAGCTGCCCTTATGGACCGACTGTGCCTGTACTTCTGTATGAAAACTGACCTTCACACATTTGGTTTTATTGATTAAATCCTGATGAGTTTATATTTGTGCCATTTGTCCAAAAATATGACAAAAATTAGTCTAAAAAGTCTCTCGCTACTGGTGCAACTAAGTATGACAAAGTCTCTATTTAATGTTTTCAGTTGTTAAAGAACATGAATATTAATGAACTTATTTTTATTCCTGGTGTTATGCATCAGTCCTTTATTATCACAAGTCTGACCTGTTGCAGCTTTAAACTACCTTGTGTGTGCTGCTGCTTTGACCTGTTTTGGATTTTTTAGTACTGTCACCACTTCAGAAGAAAGTTGGCTGGAGTTTGTGTCACATATTTGCTAAAATGCCTGTTTTTGGTCATGAGTAAATGTGTTTCACGTGTGTGTCTGTTTGCACTTGGCATGCACAGATTTTTGCATGAGCCGTGAATCACTTGATGCTTAATTTGAAATAGTGGCTGAGTTTTCTCAAGCTAACAAAGAGCAGATTGTGTTTTGGTGTTTATGTTTAGAAAATGCTCAACAAAGGGCACCTTAAAGTAGAACTGTTTTCAGTATGTTGCAATATTTTCAAACTAAACAAAATATCAGAGAATTTAGAAATGTTAGAAATAGAATTATCTATTTGTTGAATACTGAGCTAAAAATGTGCTTCAAAAGAAAAATAATTAGATATGTTTTGTCAATTACAGTTCTTTCAAATTTGCTTCAAAGCATAAAAATATATTTTCCACAACAGGAACATATAATTTTATTAATATTAACTTTAGTCATAACTTGAGGCAGGAAGGTGTTAGCCGCAAAAAAATTGATCATCGTACATACAGACAGATGTGTAACAATTTGTCTCAGTCAAAAGAGTTCTAACCTGCCTAGAAAAAGGTCACACTTTTTGAATTTGAAAATTAATATTGGTGGCATCTTGAGTCAGGAAGTTGCTAGTTGCACTACATTTGAAGTCAATAAATTATGTTTAAAATAAGTTTTATTTAAAGGCACAGTGTGTAGGATTTGTTGTTTTCAGCGACATCTAGTGGTTGAATCATCCTCCCTGGTCCTCCCCCCACCCCCACCCCCCGCTTCCAAATGCAAAGGAGTTGCTACGGTGTCTCTCATGAGTCAAAGACCTTAGACATCGCGGTTGGAATTATCAAAGGTTTTTGACACCTGAGAGACACAGTAGCAACTCCTTTGCGTTTGGAAGCAGGGGGTGGGGGTGGGGGGAGGACCAGGGAGGGTGATTCAACCACTCAACCACTAGATGTCGCTGAAAACAACAAATCCTTCACACTGTGCCTTTAAAACATTGTTCTGTTTAAAATTATAGACACATATAGACACATATTCTCAATAATTTTACTATTGCCATTATACATCACATTTTTAACTTCCCCCACAAGTCAATCCAACCAGTTACAGGTTACCCAAACTAAGCTCACACCCAAGAAACTACCACTTAGTGACTGCAGAGACCCCCTTCTCAAAACAACAGCATATTTAAATGTAATATTGAAAATAACAACTTAAAATCAATTCTAGCAATAATTGTTTTTGACTTATATAATTTTTAATTGAAGTAAATCCAGTTTTAGCAGATGACATGGTATGAATAAAATTTTAGTATATTTTCTAACACAGAGCACAAGGTTTAGTAAATTGTCATGTGTGCATTTTTTACATTTTATCTTTGCAACTTAATATCACAGAACTGCATTCCTCTGAAAACAATCAAAATCAGAACACAGGAGTAAAGCTGGGAAACAGAGGGTCATCATGATTTAGAGCTTGAACAACACAAGACGGAAGAACTTGTTGCTCTGTTTGTATTTTTTTGTTATTTAATTAGAACCTCTGATGTTTATAAAGGAAGAATGCAGTTTTGATCATCAAGTAAATAAGTTTTTCCAGACTTGCTGTTAAACGTATTCAAATGCCTTCTTTAAAATACCAACCACGTTTTTTTCTAAACCTAAATGAGTATCTTTGATAATGAGAAATCAGCATCATGTCTGGGTCTGTTCTGTGCTGAAGGACTGCAGCCAAACATGGAAATCTGCTTAGAGTTTAGAAACATGAGATGTTTCAAACACATGTTTGAACACTAACCATCCATATTTCCTGAAAGATTGGGTTTTTTTTCTTTGCCTTCAATCATTTTTGATGGTGATCTGGACATTTATTGGGATACTAACAGATAATTGTTGGCAAAATGTGAATAAAAATCAGGCAAAGTTAAACTGATGTAATCACTCTAATTTATCCATCTCAATTTCTGATAGAAAGTTTGTCTTTTCTTACAAGCAAGACGCTTCTATAATTGATAGCCTGTTTTTTTTATAACCATTTCAGTAGAAAGCAGTACTAAATATCTGAATATTAGTATCTTAGCTTCTTCATCATCAGCGGTTTTATTTATTTTTTTAAGATAGACAAGAAAGAAGATGAAAGAAAGGAAAAAAGAAGGAAAGGAAAGAAAAGTTACAATGTAATAGAAAAAAGTGAAAGAAAGAATTGATGATATGATGGCCTGTTTTGAGTAAATTCCCATGGTTTTAAATGTCAATTTTTTTTAAAAGACCTACACTTTTACTGAGGTCTGTCCCCCACATAGTTTATGAATAGTTCACTCAAAGTTGCACTGATTTTTTATTATATTTTAAATGTATTTTCTCACTATTTTTGTTTTAGTTTGGAGATTTAGTTTTGGGGTTTGGTGCTGCCGGTTTATTTCTGCAAACTAGTTATAGAATTATTGATTCAAAAATAAGGTTTTTCCATTTTTCGATCAACCTCTTATGAAATGATGCACATTGAAGCGCTCGAGTAGATCTTGGTTTTATAATTACAAGTTCCTGTGATGGAAAAAGTTTGTATGTGTTCAAATCTACAAAAGGCTAAGGTTAAATTTTGTTTTTGTACTTTTCTGGTGCCCTTATTCTCTGCGTGTTGTTGCTGCTCCATGGCTCTGCTTGTAGAAACTCTTTAATATTTGTGTTGTATTTTAACTTGCATTCCCCTGGAGGCAGGGCATTGTCAAGTGAGTATAACCTGATACTTTTTAATGAGATGGTTGTCAGACAATAAAGATGTAAACTGGACCAGTCTACTTAAATTATAGGTATATCATAAAATATGATGGATGCATTAATAAAATTATCATTGATTTATTGCCTACATCAAGGCTAAGTTAATTTTTATTTAATAAAAACATTTAGTTTTTTTAATATTTTGTTATTGTAATTAAAATAATTCATCACTGAGCTCAGGAGCTCCATTTCCTGTGAAAAGGAAAATGGCTGGAAAGAATATTTGTTGAGTTTGACAGTGAACAACAATTAGCAATCTTTGTTTAGGAATTAGGAGAAATACTAAAAAACTTTCGAAGTTCTGGATAAATTGGTGTCAGTTTCTGTAGCTCCTATCATCAAGCAACTGATGCACCGAGTAACTATCAGTCTGAAGTGGTTTTAATTTTCCAAACACTTATGGGTATACAGCTTTCCTGCTCATCACTTCTGAACATCATTCCTACAATAAAGCATGGTGGAGGCAGCATAATGGTCTGGGCCTGGTTCAGTGCTGCATCAAAAGAGATCCTGAACAGAACTGAAGATCAGTCCTGAGTTAGAGTTGTCAGACCTGAGACCTGATTCACCTTTCAGCCAAATCATTTCTTCAAGATGAGTCCTGAATTTAACTGTTTCCTGTTACGAGAAAAACATTTTCCACTGAATATTACATGGGAAACAGGTAAAGAAAATGGATAGATTACATTGGAACACCATAGATTTGATACGTTTTCTTCAATGAACTTTGTTGCAAAATTATAAACATCATAGGATCCACATTTTTTCTGTGTCCATCAGTACTTTATATGTAATTTTCAGCATTTGTGTTGTTGAAATTTCTAACTGTTTTTCACTGTTCATTGGTTACTGATACATGCGGGTATAGGAATTAAAAAGCATACATAAAAACATATGATACACGTAAAAATAAGCCATGTCTAATATCTGCAGTAAACAAATCACTAAAAAAACATGAATTTAAGTTTTCCTTCTAATTATATACACTGAAAATACTTTGCTGCAAGTTTGTCAGGTTTCAAAAGTTAGAATATTATTAGCATGCTCCAAATTTGTGCATGTTAACACAGCTGGCTGCTTTAGCATGTTAGCCTGTCTGTTAAAGCAGTGAGCAAGATGCATGCTAGTATTTTGTTAGCATATAGCCACAGCCAATCATATGGTAGTTTCTCAAAGGCATGTGTTACTGTATGTGTGGACAGGTGGACAGATGTGCATGTGTGTGTGTGTGTGTGTGTATGTGTGTGTGTGTGTGTGTGTGTTATCTAAAGCTATGTACCTTGATTCTGTCTCTGCTGACCAGGGGATCCAGGTAACACACCTGTCTGTCCACCTATCTGCCTACCTGTCAGTTCACCTGTTTGTTACTGTTTGACTCATCCATTCTGTGTGTGTGTGTGTGTGTGTGTGTGTGTGTGTGTGTGTGTGTGTGTG